TAGAAATTCTATGATTTTATTGCTAAAAAAAATAAAGTTGAGATAAATTCTAGAAATTCTATAAATAGATAGTTTATTAGTATAAAATATAATATAAAGCATTATAATTAAATAGATAAAATTAACTTTCGAATTATTAATAAAAGCGTCTTAAAAAAATGAGTTTTCCATCTGATATTTTTAGTAATAACAACCATAACAAAACACGTTTAACTGTTTAAGTCAAAAACAAGTTGGACGCACTGAGACACGTGGAGGTCAAATCGTTCAACGACTGGAGCTTTCTCTCTCCCCGTGTTGACCGGTCACATCTCCGCCCCACGAATGCGGTACGATGAACCTCACAACCTCCGCTCCTATCTTGCCATGTGCCCGTTATTAATTCGCATTCCACAGCCCCTCTCTGCTATAAATTTTTTTCCTCCGGTTAGGCCTCTCAGCTCTAGTGGCGTACGCGTTTATGCAGTCCACCTCAAATGACCTATGTTAATTAGTTTATTTAGTATCAAATCATGCTTAGCATTATAATTAAACCTCTTCTAATTGGACACCATCGTTAAAAATCTAATAATAACAATCTTTCTCAGTGGAGTTCCACTCACCTTCTTTTAGATGTTCCAAGCTCTTAAACGAGTGACTTCACTTGGATAAAATTTCAATGAGAAAGAAACAATTTTCATTAAAAAAAAGCATTTTGTATTATTTTTTTATTTAAATTATTGTTTTAAGTTTTGATAATTCTTTTTTATTTTGATGCTTATATATATATATATATATATATATAGAACTAATTATTTAAAGATATAAATTGATTCATTTTATGATTTTAAAGAAATAAAAAAAATATTTAAATTTTGAGATAGGTCAATTTCAATATGAAGTTTATTTCCATCTAAATGGGTAGAAAAAAAAAAGGAGATGCTCATTTTAAATTAAATGGAGCTATTTTTATTTTAAACTATAGAGGAAATATTTTTTCTCAGTTTAGATTATTATAAAAATTAGTAATTCTGAAGTGTTGATCAAGACCTTTAATTTGATCATTAATATGCATACTCCTATAGTTTTTATTAGCTAGTTGGCCTCGCGCAAACACGAGCTTTTAAAGGAGAAGAAAGTCTGACTAAAATTTAGTGAAAATAATTATCTTAATATTAAGGATTTATTTAGGACATCTTTAGATTACTATTTTTTTTTTCTTATTTTCAAAAAAAAAAAATGTATTAAAATGCAGTTTTACAAAGCAATAAGAAAGTCATCCCAAACGAAGCCTAGATCTAGACTTCGTTTGGGATAACATTCTTACTGTTTTACTTTTCAGGCCACAACCATCATTTTTATTTGGCTACTTTTTTTTTTACTGCATTTTCAAAGTAATTGTACTAAGAAACTATTCTATAACAGCTTTCAAAAAAATTATTTTCTCCACAATAACTTTAGAACCACCTTTACAAAAAGCTGAAGTTTGAAATATGTGCAATATATAATTAATAAATTAACATAGTGTTGATTTAGGACAGCGTTCCCACTGCATTGCTTGGCAGACCAAAATATATTATGATTTCATTTGATTAGTGCTTTCTTCATGTTTTCTTATGAAGTGCATCACTCGCAAAATCTATAAATAGTCTCCTTTTCACACTTGATAGGGGGCTTAGACTTTATGAGGTTTAGACCTTTGGCTAGAGACTCAAGAAAGCTCTAAGAGTTAAAGCATCCTGGAGCTCCACCACGGCACCACCTTTGGTGAACCCTCGCCACCAGGTTGTTGCTGGACCTCTGCCCGACCATTATATTCGGACAACCGTCCAGTATTCATCATCGTCTAATAACCCAATAATGAAAAGTATTTTAAAATGTGAATTTTATAATTTCTGTTTGAACTAAAGCCCTTCGACGCTATACTTTTGAGTGTTGCGGCGCTATGTTTGAGAGTACAGCGGCGCCATACACTATAGGAAAGTCATCAATTTGTGGCAGACAATGCAATGAAATTTTTTTCTCTAAAGTTCAATTTTTTTTCTAAAACTTTATCTAAACCTGTTGACTAGCAATTTCTTTCATTTTCTCAACGTTCTGCTTTGACCTCGCCCGCGAGCTCCTTTGATGAAGTTTGCTTGGCATAGTCTCCTTCGACGACGTTCCTTCCTCTTCCATCTGATGTCACACTTCCTCACTGATCTTTGTCTTCGCAGTCGTCGTATCCCCTCTCGCCGCCCGTTGCTCTGCCTCCTTCAACGACGTTACTTCACATTGATATATGATGTTCCTTCTTGTCACATCCAAAGTTCGTCGCCATTCTTCTTCGATGTTCTTTAGACACATCCTCGCCATCATCTGACTTATGATCGCATCCTTGCTCGAATCCTTCCACGACGTTCCTTCTCTCGGCAGATCAGAGATTGTTCATTGAGACGTTGTCCATCTTTCTTGCTTAAAATTTATGAATCTATTATTCATTATAATGGTGTAATAGATGGAGATATTATTAGTAGAACTCATGTTGGATGATTAAAATGGATGAATGCATTAGACTTATTGTGTAATAATTAAGTTCATCTCAAACTTAAGGAAAAATTCTAAAAATGGTGGTGAGACCTGCAATGGTTTATGGTATAGAATGTTGGCCATTAAAAGAGAAACATAATATTAAATGTTTTAGAGATGAGGATGTTGTATACAATAATCATAGCATGTTGGATGGTTAGTAGAATTTGTGTTGGATGTTTGGAATGGAGGATAATGCATCAGGCATATTGTGTGATAAATAAGTTTCCCTCAAACTTAAGGAAAAATTCTAAAAAATGATAGTCAGACATGCAAAGATTTATGGTGTAGAATGTTAGTCATTAAAAGAGAAGCATAATATTAAGTGAAGTGTTGTAAATATGAGGATACTTAGGTGGATGAGTGGCTTTACTCTTAGAATCAATTGTTCATGGTGATGGTGTAATGGATGAAGATATTATTAGTAGAATTCAAGTTGGATGATTGAACTGGAAGAATGCATCATGCTTGTTTGTGATGTTTTTTACTCATTTTACTTCTTTTTGATGTACGTATATGAACTATTGAAACTTTAACAATGCTATGACAATTGTAGAATTTTATGGAATGTGGTTGTTTATTTGAGCTATTTGAATGTTTGTTACTGTTTGATTATTATTGCTTCTAATTATTTGAATGTTTAGTTGAGCCAATACATATATATGTATTGGATCCATCCCCCATCAAGGAACTGTTCTATGCATTATGTATTATCATTGTGGAATCAAAGTTTTCTCCAATCAAATTTTTATAACATATTAGTCAAATATCTATATTATTTGTTGCAAATATTAGACGAAGAACCTTAAATATAGCATTAAAACAATTTATAGGTTATGAAATTTTTTATTGATTTAAAGAGAACTTAGAAAGAATATTACGATTAATTACTTCTTAGAACACATTATTTGTTTTCACTATAAATAGAGTACTCTTGAAGGAGGGATAAATTATTCTACACTGATATCTTCGTCTAGATCTGGAGGTCAATCAGAACGCGCAACGTCACTTTTTGCTCGGTACCGGTGCTGGGTACTGTTGGGTAACGGGTGATGTGACGTGTTCAGATTGGCCTCTGGACTATCCGGTGTCTGCACATAATAATTTTCTGAAAGAGGGATTTGACATCTTGCTTCCAAAAACATATAAAGAGAAGACGGTTAGATAGATAGAGAGAGAGTTTTGCTAACACGAAGAGAATGGAGGAATTGGATATAAGAGGCATGTCTTTTATTCTTCAAGAATAAGAAAGTTTTGTTATTTTCAACTTCATGAAGAACAAAAATTTTCAGCTAGAAGATAGAAAAGCCTAATTTGAAAACCTATAACAAAAAAAAAAAGAAGATAAATAATAGCAACTATAAAATTTTCTTTTTATTTCTAGCATTTTATGAGGAAAAATCTTTAATGTAATTCTCTTCCAAAGTCATAAGATAATTAAAATGTATGCAATTGTGACTTGTGAGCATAAGATAATCTCACCAACAACAAATACCGCCAGCTTTATCCATTATATATATTTATCTTTGCTGCATTTATTTATTATTTATTTATTTTGGAATGGATGTATTTACCCGCTGCCTCCTCCTCCTTCTTAGGAGGCATATGGCGGCATAACTAATTCCTTGGTGGACCTAGCAGTAGCCACCCATACATATCCGACTCCACAGTTGCCTACTCCACTCAAAGGAGGCTAGCTGCTCGAGAGAAGAATCGAACGTGGGTTGGGGTACCCAACCACTCTCGCCCACCAACCAAGCTAAGGGCATCTTCAACCAAAAAACCCATTTTCCAGTCCAAAATATAGTAAAACTAAAAAATGTAGTAATTCATCTCCAACCAAACGCCATTTGTTCTCCTCTTTCGTGTGCTTCTTCATCTCGTAGCAAAGGAATCGTCTTTCTCCTCTTTCAAGCCTTCTTTCGCAAATCCCGTAGGCCAATTTTTTTTTTTGCAAAGGTGAAAAGTGCGATGTCAATATTGGGATTATATTGTTCACTCCAGGAGCTTAGTTGATAATTTCGTGCTCAATTAGATCGTTTGACGAACAACATACACTTGTTTACTGTTCGGTTGTAGATGTTCTAAGCGTGGTGGGTAGCTTATTTAAATTATTTAATTATCTTTATTTGACCCTATTTAAATTTATATCATTAACCTACCATTTTCACCTATTAATTAGCATTAGGATAGACTCATTTTTTTTAGACTATCGAAACTCATAAATTTTATCCGAATTTTGAGTAAAAGGTCATTATTGACCTTTATTTTCCAAAAATCGATTTCCATTAAGTTTATTCTGCCTAAAGAAAGATCCCAGCCAAATCAAGCCCACTTTATAATATCCCTCAAAAAGGGGAACCAGATAAGCTCCGAGCCTCCTCCGGCTCATCCACACGCCCCTCTTCTCTTCCCTATATAAACCCATCCATTCCCCTCCATTTGTTATCAGCTGAACACTCATCCCCACTGCTTCCTGCTAAACTCCTCACCTCTGCTCCCAAATCCTATTTAATCACATTAATTATTCTACTAATTACATCCATTAATACATTAATTAACTTCCACCTCTCAATGGGAAACACCGACGCCGCCTACATGGCCGGCGTTGAGGTCGCCCACCGCGTTCCCGTCCCCACTCCTCGTCCCTTCCTGGACACCTTCTGCTCCAATCTCAAAGAAACCTTCTTCCCCGACGACCCATTCCGTCAATTCAAACAAGAAAAAGGCGGCCGCCGTGCCATCCGAGCCCTCCAATACTTCTTTCCCATCTTCGAATGGGCTCCAAACTACACTTTCAACTTTTTCCGTGCCGATCTCATCGCCGGCATCACCATAGCTAGTCTTGCGATTCCGCAGGGCATCAGCTACGCTAAGCTGGCTAATCTTCCGCCTATACTCGGGCTATGTACGTATCTTTTTTATTTTATTTGTGGTGTTTGATGATAGGCCGCCGTAATGAGAAAGTTGGTATGCAGATTCGAGCTTTGTGCCACCGCTGGTGTATGCGATGATGGGGAGTTCGAAGGATTTGGCTGTGGGGACGGTGGCGGTGGCGTCGCTGCTCTTGGCGTCGATGTTGGGGAAGACGGTGTCGGCCAAGGAAGAGCCGGCTTTGTATTTGCATTTGGCGTTCACTGCGACGTTCTTCGCCGGCGTCCTGCAAGCGTCTCTGGGCTTGCTGAGGTAAATTTATAGTTTTTAAAAACTATATCAGCTTCAGATCATATTATCTAATAATCTTATGAATTATGCTCGATAATTAACTAAGGTTAGATTTAATTTTCTGTGACGGTTGCAGGCTTGGGTTTATAGTGGACTTCTTATCGCATTCAACCATAGTTGGATTCATGGGAGGAGCAGCGACTGTGGTTTGCCTGCAGCAGCTGAAAGGGATTTTGGGACTTGAGCACTTCACCACTAATACTGATCTAGTCTCAGTGCTGGAGTCCGTCTTCTCTCAAGTTCATCAGGTTTATAATTAATCTGCTACTAATGTAGGAGAAGCTTCGTTGAATCTTTAATTAATTCTTTTATAATTCACACTTCTTTTATGAGCTATCAGTCTCTCCTCACCCTCTGTAAGCATTAACTAATATTTAATTTGTAGAAGATAGGTCTTAACGCATAGAATTATAATTGGTTTAAATTTTTTCTTTGATCAATCCACTTACCAAGGAGAGAATTATTAAGCTATGCACTATGTCTACACTCTATCAAATTAATAAAGATCAACTTGCCACTAAAATATGGACAGTGTTCACGTGTTATTTCTTGTTTGTGAAGCGTTATTTATTGATTTAGGTTTCATTTGGAATGACTTTCTTACTACTTCATAAAATAATTTTTGAGTACACAAATTTTTTAATTTGTGTACTCAAAAGTTATTTTATGAAGTAGTAAGAAAGCTGTCTCAAACTAAACCATTGACTTGATTTGAAACAGCTTTCTTATTGGTTACGAAACAACTTTTTAGCTCAAAATTTCTAAATTCAAAAAAAAAAAAAAATTGTGCTAAGAAACTGTTTCATAAAGCAGGAACAAAATTATCTTAAATGAAGTCTTATACTATATATACTTTACAATAATTAATTTAGTAGTTCTCGCGCCACCGTTCATAATCTATGTTTAACCACAAGCTTAAAATTAAGAGAAATTATTCAAACACTAACAAATTTAAGATTTTTTTTGGAAACTATACATTTTATAATATATATTATATAAATATCATAATTTGATTGATGCAAATAATACATACTTATCTAAATATTTTTTTGTAAAACAATTATTCTGAGCATAATGTTGACATACAAAAGAGAGGATAACTTAATTAGTGCATGAGAATCGTGTTGAAATTAGGATTAAAAATATTATGATATATGTAACGATTGATGACATCGATTATTAGTGTTGCTTTTGTAACAATGAAAGCGATATCCATATCATTTAAAAATATTCGTCTACTTTAAAAGGTTAGCCACAAATTTAGCTTTTGATGCTAATGTGTGCATGTGGCTTCTGTATCTTCTCTGTCGACCCGAATAAATATTTAAAATGCCCCCAGTTTTTTTTTTTTTTTTTTCAAATTTTATTGAACGGGCTGATCAAGAAAAAAAAGAGTACTATGATATATATTTAATAGTGAATGCAAGATTATTTTCTTATGAGAAATATTTTGAAAGGATTTGGTATCGTCCTCAAAGATAAGATTGAATACTTTAATATATAAAAACGAATATATATATATATAACTTATTTTTTTTAAAATGAAGTATGAAATATGTATATTTCATTATGGTATAATCAAATTAATATAAACTTAGCAAACCATTAAAAATAAATTGATAATTCTCTTACAATCTAAATAATTAAATTCATATTATTATAAATAAAATTATTTAAATATACCATTTTTATAATATAAAATTGTTATATTACATGCAAATTTTCATCTAAAAACAGGTCAAAGAACCTAGCCGGGCTAAATATTGCTACATAAACATTCCAAAGAAAAGATAAATAAAAATTTCTTAATTGTGGCATGAAAGACGCAGTCCCGTGATTCCTCCACCAAACGTAGGGTCATAGGGATGAGAACTCGGCGTCATCTCTTTGTCAACTATCCAAAAGCTCTATTGGCCATTGTCCATATGCAGGGCTCACAAAATGTTGTCCTCTTCTCGTTTGATTCATTATTTCTCACCCACCACTGCTTGTCTTGGTGGTGAAGAGCCGGCTGGGCAAAGCCCAGGTCCCTGGTTCTAATCCCTTGGCAAGCAGTGAAAGCCTTAAGTGTTGGCCCGTGTAAATTGGTGTCGGTTCCATGCTAGGTCGACCGGGGTTTACACTGGCCTAAAGACAGTACTTCCTCGTCACAAAAAAAAAAAAAATCATCATTTCTCTCTCTGCTGCATCAGATCAGCTTCTCATAATCTCAAGCATGTGATCTTTCTGTCACTTTCTGCTTATAGTATTGGAGCACTTCTCTTATATTTATAGACCGTTTCTTTTCTAATAAAATTTAACTTATTTCATTATTGTGAAATACAAATATTTATAATTATAATTTTCTCTCTGGATGTTGTGCTCAGAGCAAGAGAGGATCCCTGTTCTTTTGGCTATCTGCAGCAGCGCCATTAACATCAGTGATATTAGGAAGTCTAGTGGTGTATTTCAGCCATGCCGAGACTCATGGTGTTGAAGTGGTGAGTTCAATTGTTTCATTCTATAATGATATTTTATCAATAATCTTAATGAGATTAAGGCTCCGTAACTTTTTTATTGTTTCTTAAAACAATTTTTTAGTATAAAAATTTTTATTTATGTATTAAAAAATTGCTTTAAGAACCGGCTACTTTAAAAAAACAATAAGAAATTCATCCCAATTGAGTACAATAGGAGAAATAATGCTTAAACCTGTACAGACTTTGCCAAGATAAGTCTGGGCATCTTGAAGGAATCAGGATTCTCCTATCATCTCACAACTGAAAATGAGGCCAATTATAACTGAGACAGTTTATTTCTCCATTTAACTTTTATGAGAATTATTTTAATAAGGAGTTGGATTAATGTTCGTTCGATATAATTAAGCAAAATTATGTAAATAAATACCAATATATATTACCAAGAAGCAAGTCAACGCTTCCATTTTATTATAGGATCTCATTAATTACACTTCTTGCAGATTGGTCACCTCACAAAGGGGTTGAATCCTCCCTCTTTGACCAAACTGACCTTATCTCCGCCTCACATGATGGTGGCCCTCAAAACCGGCATGGTCACTGGAATCATTGCCCTTGCTGTAAGTCAAGTCAACTCCTTTATCTCACAAAATCAAAGCTTTTATTATTCTTCTCTCTCTAATCCTTTTGCCTTCCACACTAATTCAGGAAGGAATTGCTGTGGGGAGAAGCTTCGCCATGTTCAAAAACTATCACATTGATGGGAACAAAGAGATGATTGCATTCGGAGCCATGAACGTGGCTGGATCCTTGACCTCTTGCTACCTTACTACAGGTACGTAATTAATGATTAGTTGCAGTACTTATTTATGCATATATACTTATAAGTGTAAAAAATATTAATGAAATTTAACAGGACCTTTTTCACGATCGGCTGTGAATTATAATGCCGGTTGCAAAACAGCAGTGTCCAACGTGGTCATGGCATTGGCAGTAATGATCACTTTATTATTTCTCACCCCACTCTTTCATTACACTCCTTTGGTGGTTTTGGCCTCCATCATTATCTCGGCTATGTTAGGCCTTATCGATTATGAAGCTGCCTTTCACCTGTGGAAGGTTGATAAGATTGACTTCTGCGTGTGCATAGGAGCTTACCTTGGAGTTGTCTTTGGGAGTGTCGAGATCGGCCTGGTTACTGCGGTTCGTATTTTTCTTTATGTTTTTGAAGCAGATAAGCAGAATGTATTCTCTCTTAAGTTTAGTTAATATCACTAATATGTTAACAAATTATAACTGATTATGCAGGTGATGGTGTCAATACTTAGAGTTTTGTTGTTCATTGCAAGGCCAAGGATGACCATGTTGGGTAACATTCCAAATTCCATGGCTTATAGAAGAATGGATCAGTACCCCGGAGCTCAGAGCATCCCTGGTGTTCTTGTACTTGGCATTGATGCCCCAATCTATTTTGCCAATGCAAATTACTTGAGAGAGAGGTATATATGCAAGTTAGGAAGATAGTGCAAGGACATATTTATAGTATTTATGCCATGTTTAGGCTTAATTAATGACTTTGATATAGTTGGTGATCACAAAGATCTCTCTCTCTCTTTTGGAAAGTTCACAAAGATCTTTATTTGGTGTTTAGGATCTCCCGATGGATTAACGAGGAGGAAGATAGGCTTAGGGTGAACGGAAAAACCAGCTTGCATTATGTTATACTTGATATGGGTGGTACGTTAATTACATCTGCCACAAATATGATGTATTTATGATCAACGTGTGCATGTCTATGTTTTAAGCTTTTCCTAACATAATAAAGTCTATTTGTTTGCCTTCTCAGCTGTGTCCAGTATTGACACAAGTGGAATAAGCATGATGAAGGAGACAAAAAAAGCACTAGAAAGAAAAGAGCTTCAGGTACATATGCTTTGCCACCACATATTACTTTAACATCAAAAAGCATTTCATTCAAATGCATTGATATTGTTGTGTTAAACATTAATAATTTGATTAATGATTATACAAATTATGAACATATTTTTTAAACAGTTGGTGCTAGCCAACCCAGGAAGTGAAGTGATGAAGAAGCTCGATAGCTCAAAGGTGCTCGAGACAATTGGTCATGATTGGATCTTTCTAACTGTAGGGGAAGCTGTTGGTGCCTGCAATTTTATTCTGCATACAGTAAAAACTGGAAACCTTATGGAAAATGGAGGAGTTATGGGCTTAGATAGCCATGTTTGAAAAGGCTACTAATGATGTACTCAGTTATATCATCAGCTATTCTTAATCTGTGTTCAAGAAGCTCTGCTATTTCGTTGAGTTTTAGGATTGAACTTATCAGGCTAAGCATGTCTCTATGGCTACTGTAGCTCATAGAAGCCTTTGTTCTACATTGCTATTCCTTTTGGTCGATATTAGCTGACCATCTTTTGTTTTTGGATGTTGGGTTAGAGCATTTTGCCACCCTTTCTTGCAATCGTAACCAAGATTGCATTGTATTATCTTACTATTGAAGAAATGAAAGCTATAGTTTTGTTGCAAATGATTTGTTGTATGTACTTTCCCACAACAAAAAATTTCTAGAAAATGAAAAGAAAACAATAGCCAAATGAATGTGCGGTGATTGTTTAAAAAGAATAACGGTGAACAAGTTGCCCCTAACTAATCCTTAACCCTAATACTATCTAGCTAATACTTTCATGACAATTTTTCATGCATCAAATTATATGTATAGCCATCATCAAAATAAAAATTTATCAAACTTATAAACCTACAAAAATAAAAAAATTTGTTTTGAAAAGCTGCTTTAAGAAACAGTAAGAAAGCTATCCCAAACTAAGTCATAGTCATTATTTAATTAGTTGTTTCAATAAATTGTAATGCGCAATAAACTAAAGATGACGTTTTAGGGATCCCTTTATTGGAGAGCATGTATTGAATTCTTGGGGACATATTGAATGAAAAACTAACCCCTTGCATGGGATCAAAAAATTATAAATTTGGTCTTATATAAAAATTAAAATTAATAATTTTGTATTCTAATATTTTCTTAGAAAACTTTTAAGGGTCGTTAACTATTTGTTCTCCAATTGATCAAATCTTTGCTCAAAGATTTGCTCAGAAGCTTTCAATTTGATCTCAAGCCAAACAAACTTTGATTAAAGGCTAGCACTATGAGATATTGAATTGAGCTATATTCAATTGGACTTTTTTTCTCTCTCGTAGCTTTTGAACTTTTTTTCAGAAGCCATGCCCACAAGCTTAAAAAAAGCAGCCACTACTTATGGGCTTTTTGCGGCCCATTCCTTTTTTCGAAACTTTAGAAAGATGGCCCATGCATGATATAATCTTGTTTCCTCATGTCAAGAGAGGAAAAAAAAAAAGTTCAACAATAGTTACTCATAAAATTTGATGCTCATTTCCCAATATTTTTAAAGTATTCAGTATATGATAAAATTTCATCCAATATAGAAGACTCTAGAGTAGTAGAAGAATCTAGAATATTTGTAATAATTAGAGAAGGAATTTAGATATTTATAATAAATAAAGAAGACTTTAGAATTGCTAAATTATAGAAGTCTCTAGATTAACCCTTCATACGTATAAATAAGTAATGTCATGATGTTGTAAGCCAAGCTAAAAACTACTCAACAAAAGTTCAGCAATAAAATTGTTCTTCTATTCTCCCATCCAAAATCTCTATAGTTCATTGCTTGCCTCCCTATCTACCTTTCTTCCAAAATATTTCCAACATCTTGGTACCAGAGCCTCGATCGATCACTCATTGAGCGTTGTAGGAATCTTGTCTAAAATTCAATGAAAAACTCTAACCGCTCTATTGTCTCGATTCTAATCTTCAGTGGATAAAATTATGATTTTTGGTCCATCAAAATGGAGACATATTTTTACTCCCAAAATTTGTGGAAGATTGTTGAAGAAGGGTCCAATTGATGAAGATACGACGGATCTTTCGACAATCAATGAAAGGTGCTTGAAGAGAATTAACAAAAGGATTCTCAAGCATTATTTGCCTTACAACAAAGAATAGCCGACAACATTCATGAGATACATTATAGGAGTTCCAAGGAACTAACAATGTACATGTCATCAAGCTGCATAATCTAGAACGAGGTTTTGAGAATATTAAAATGAATGATAATGAGACCTCAAAAGACAATTTATCTAGAATAAAATAAATAGTTAATCAAATGAGAGCCAATGGAGCTACATTTTCTGATAAGGAAATAGATGAGAGGATAGTAATTTCTTGTAGAGAAATGTTTGATACAATAATTTATGCAATTGAATAATCAAAGGATATAGAAGCCTTATGACCAATAGAATTAATGGGCTCTCTTGAAGCACTGAGAAAAAATTGAATAGACAAAATATAATCTCTATAAAAATGCCTTTCAATATAAAACAAATCCACAATCTCATAAATTAAAAAAAAAAGAAGGGAGAAATTCACAGGTATGCACTAAAGATAAAAACAATTAAAGAAAGAGCGGCAAACATTCTCCATGTGGCTTTTGCAAAAGAAATAGTTTCTTGGAAAAGGATTGTTGGTTTAATTTAAAGGAAAATTACAATGTCAAAATTATAAAAAATAAGACATATAGAATGTACTTGTCGCTAGTGGCGGAGCTAAAAATTTTATTCAGGGGGGCCTAAATTAAAATAGGTCAGCCATATTTAGAAGGTTAGAATACATTAAAATAATTTTGTTTGCTATCTCATTACCGAAGCTAAGAAGAGCTGTAAGATAAAATCTAATAATACAAATAACATGACCCTTAGAGCTTAGAATACATAAACATCTACCGTGGGCGGTCTTCATTTGGCGGTGCTCAAGGTCATGAGTCGCGAGAAAGGAGCAAAGAGGAAGATAAACCATTAATTTTTTTCAAGTATCCAGAAAAAGATGTTGGTGGCTTCTCAGAATTAATAAAACTTTAAAAAGGAAGAATTACATAAATTAGAGCAGGTTTCTTCGTTGGCAAACTTGTTGCTCTGTTAAGCTAGTAAAATTATTAGTTTAAAGCCCCTTTAGACTTTTAGTTTTAGCTTTAGCCAAATCCTCTAGAGGATATCCTTCGTCCACAATGGAAAGTCATTCCTCCATCTCTCTCTCTTTTAATATATTATCTTATTAGTCTTTCGTTATAAATATTTTAGGGGGGGGGGGGGACATGTTCCCCTAGCAACGCCTTTGCTTGTTGCTTGAAAAGCTACTTTTTTAGAAGAGAAAGATGATAAAAATATCTTCTATGCTTGTCCAGTCGCAGTAGAAGAGAAAAAAGATACATTGTATCTTGATAGTGGTTATAGTAACTACATGGCGAAAAATGAGAATATATTTTGTAGTCTTGACAAAAATAAGACAAAAATCAAAATTGGAAATGGTAACTTTATGGAGGCAACAAGAAAAGGCACCATTGCCATTGACACAAAAAGGGGACAAGATATCAATGATGAACTTCTGGTTTCAAACATCGGTCAAAATCTACTCATCATGGGCCAAATGATGGAAATGATATTCTTTATATTTTGAGGGAAATACTTACACAATTTATGACAAACAAGATAAATACCTTGAAATAACAAAGATTAGAATGAAAAAGAACAGGAACTCCAATTTAATGGAGATACAAAAATGAAGTGGAATGAAGGCACAATGGGAGAGTCATTATTATGGCACAAACATCTAGGGCATTTAACTTCCATGGGCTAACGATTCCCCGCCTAAAGAATATGATAAGAAATCTTTCAATAATAAAGGAGGTCGATAGTGCTAATGAAGGATGCTTGATTGATAAAATACATCGACAACCATTTTCATCAGACAAAGCATGGAGTGTTAAGGAGCCACTGAAGCTTATTCACACAGATGTTTACGGGCCGATGCATACTCCTTCATTCAAGCAAAACATGTACTTCAATTTTCTCATTGATGACTACACAAGAACGACATAGGTTTACTTTATGTATGAAAAATCTTAATGAATACATCCAAGATGACTGACTTATGTATCATGCACTATTTTCTTAAGATAGAAGTAAATAAAAAAGAAAATGGGATCTTCATCTCATAAAAGAAGTATACATAAAATATGCTAAAGAAATTTAAGATGAATGGTTGCAAAATAGTAGGTACTCCACTAGACAATAAGTCACTCATGAAAGAAAACAAAGCACTAAAGGTAGACAATACAATCTATCAAAATCTTATTGGAAGTTTACTTTATTTAACATGTACAAGACTAGATATTATGTATGCAATAAGTTTACTCTCAAGATTCATACAAAGTCCAAGCCAAATTCACCAAGGAGAAAGTAAGAGAATCCTTAGATATTTGGAAGGAACAAAGGATTATGGCATTTGTTATGAATTTGCTCCCAACTCAAATTTAATAGGATATATTGAAAGGACAATGTGAAAGTTGATTGGATGATATGAAGAGCACATCAGGATATGCTTTCACACTGGGCTATGGAATATTTCTTAGGGATTAAAGAAGCAAGAAATAGTGGCACAATCTTTATATGAAGTTAAATATATTACAACAATGATAACTACAAGTCCAACCAATGGCTAAAATGAATATTTGATGACATGAAGGAGCCACAAGAAAAAGTTATAGAAATATACTATGATACCAAATCAACTATTGTAATAAAAAAAAATCATGTATTTCATGACAGAACTAAACACATTGGCATCAAATATCACTTCATTAGAGAAGCTAAGAGCAATCAAGAGATTAAGCTCAAGAACTGCAAGGCTGAAGAACAGTTAGAAAAAATATTTATAAAAGTACTTACAAGAGAAACATTTGAACAACTCCGCGGCATGATTGAAGTTATCAAAGTTTTAAATTTGCATCAAGGATGAGTGATGAAATTTGATGCTCATTTCTCAATATTTCTTGAGTATTTTATATATACTAAAATCTTCTCCAATATAGAAGACTATAGAGTAGTAAAAGAATCTATGATATTTGTAATAATTAGATGAGACTTTAGAGTAGCATAAGGATCTATGATATTTGTAATAAATAGAGAAGACTCTAGAACTGCTATATTATAAAAATCTCTAGATTTAGCCTTCATACCAATTAATAAATAGGTAATGTCATGATGTTGTAAGCCAAGCTGAAAACTACTCAACAATAGTTCAATAATAAAATTGTTCTTCTATTCACCCAAGCAAACATCTATAGCCCACAGTTTGCCTCCTTATCTACCTTTCTTCCAAAATATTTCAACCATTTACACCGAGGCTATGTATGGTTAATTGAAGACGAAGGAATCAGTTAATTAAGCTAAGAGATTAGTTTACTTCGAATGTATTTAATCAAAGTTTGGTTCTTAGCTATCCAGAACTGTCTGAAATGGTTCATATTTATGACTTCTATTTGTACTGACTTCTTATTATTTGTTCTTATTTTTATAGAATATCGAACTAAACAGGGCTGGGTTGGCTCATATTCATTCAATGATGGGCTTCATCTTGATAAGTTTTAAGGTTAAAGGCTTTAA